AGGTTAATGAAATTTCATTAATAAGTATTATTTCAGATTTGTAGATCCTTATCAAATTTTGACCTATTTCCGATAACCGTAGAAGGAACTTTTTCTACTTTCAATTATTCAAAATTCCATAACTTGAGTACTATTTCAGATAGATAAAAAAACTTCCCCATGTAAGTAAAAGATTTACTTCTCTGCTATCTGTCAAATTTTAAATAATCTCCGTTGACTGGAAGTAGTCTTTTTGCCATTTCCGCTTTCTCAAAAAAAAACCCATGTGAATTTATAAAGTAGGCTACTAATAATATTCCACTATTTTATACACATTTTGTTTTGCGTTCACTTGGTGTGCAATTCTTTTTTCGATGAAATTCTATTCTATTTTTAAAAGTTTAGGTAATTAAAAATGAATTAGAAATCATGTCTAACTCCCGAGTTGCCATCCCCTGTTGTCTTTTATAAGAATATTTGAGAAAGTTTAGGTAAGATCACTCCAGGTTTATTTATCTTATAATCAATAACGCCTTTATTGTTGTGTACATTATGTGATTTAACCTTTTGTACTAACATTGTTTCATTATGAAATTTTCCTATTAGTTTTGAGTGACGTCGTCCTCTTTGAATGAGCTAGATTTTGTGTTATTTACATGTTATTTAGAGCGTTCTTGACAAACACATAAACAAATCACACAAACATAACCATAACCACTTTTCTCGTAGCATAACTAAAGTCTCGAATAAAGTTTAGTTTATACATTTAGAAGACTCAACATTACTTTGACATAAGTCATTATCTCTAAGTTCTCCATATATTAATTAGAACACTGATTTCATAGCCTCAGTATAATTTGTGACAGACAGATAGAGAGAAAGAAAGAGTTTAATGGTTTGTCCACGAGAATTTATGTATTAGGATTACATCTTAGTTTTTATTTATAAAATAAAATCTCACAAAAGAACACGAATCGTAATCTCGACTCGAAGCTTAATACTAAACCTTTATTAAATTGTAAAACTATTGATAAATACTGGCTGTTCTTTAAAACTAAACCTGGAGATTCGAGTATTGTTCCGTGCTATAGAGACGGGACGAAAATACGGGTAACTTTTTGTATCTTATTAATCTCTCATTAATCCATTGTATATGTGCGTTATTGTTCTACCACCATGAACGTATCTATATATCTATCTATCTATCTATCTATCTATCTATATATATATATATATATATATATATATATATATATATATATATATATATATATATATATATATATATGAATAACGTTACATCCAAATTATCTTTTACGTTATAACTTATTTACAAGACTAGTCAACGGTAAATATTTATAATTTACTTCTTAGAATTTTTTTTTCAAATAAATAAAAACTGCTAGTTGTGACGTATGTTTTATTATTTTTCTATGCAGTAAATAAACCATTTGCTTTATGTATTTTAAACTGATGCATGTATTATCTTATTATTGTATCGCATATCTAAATATAGACTAAGTATTATTTTTGTTCGTTTTACTTCAATATTGATGTCTTTTGTAATGAATTGTAGTTATCGTGCACTAGTTGTCTTAGATAAAATGCTGGTAAAAGTTAATAATAAACTGATAATTAAAGATTGTATAATCACGTTTAATTTCTGTTAAACATCTAAATTTTAGAGTAATAAACCCTAAAACCTAGCTATAACATCTTCACATCCCTACCAACTATTTATAAAAAATCCAATGTTATAAACATACCCCTCACTTTCAACATTAAAACAATTATACCTAACCGTACATTTAATCTCTGATCCCGACCCTAACCATATACCTACACCTAACACTATCTCACTACCTACACTATCCTCTATCAATACCTATACCTATACCTATACCCGCACCTCTAACCCTACACCTATTTCTTACACTACTCATACCTTTACCTCTTCAATTACCAATATCCATATCCTTAATTATACATGTAAAACTATCCCTAACCTACACTTATCTGTTTTTTGTCACATTCACCTACAATTCCCTAAACCAGGAGTCGGCAACCTGCGGCTCGCGAGCCGCATGTGGCTCTTTTGGTGGCAAGATGCGGCTCTCCAGCTCCTTGCACAAATATTAATATTTATATTATTTCATTTTTTAAAACTCGGAACAAATATTGTACTGTAAAGAAACTCAACTTTAAACAGGATAAAAACACTCATCAGAGAACAGTGAGAATAGGAACAGAAGAAGCTGACAGCCGCTTGATTATCAGGCCCACGGCCGTGCTGTGGACAGCCCAGTGGCAACAATTCCACGCTTGCCACTACCCTAGTGCAGCCTTTTAAGAATATTGTTAAATGGGGAATGTTATTTTATTTAGAATGCATGTCCCTATATGTCAGTAATTATTAATTTGACGCAAATGACGTAGTTTTTTTTTAGTAATTAGCTTCCTACGGTCAAGTCGGGTATGCCTACTGGACGGTGGTGTGCGAGTTTACCCTGTGTTCAGTGGGTGTGGGTGGGGGGGTGGAAGACAAGCCTGGTGAGAATCAAAGGACAGAAGCGACAGATACACGGTAATCAAACCGATATCCAAGGCAGTTAGTCGGAGTTTGCCGTATTAAGGTCTGCCTGGCAAATGGGAGACACCTGCATGAGCCGGGGATATCCGTAAATAAAGAAAAATAAATGTTAACAGCTTGTAAAGTAAATTGGGATAGTGTTATGGTTATATTATTGGATTAATAAGTTTATTGTTAAGGCTAAACGCGTGTATTTTCATATAAATAAATATTATTTCATATTTAAAGATATTTATTTCAAATAACAAATAAAATGTATTTAACTAATCCTAATAAAATAATATATTGAAAAACAATTGTTAGTGGCTCTTTAAAAACTGGAAAATTTTGAAAATTGTGACTTTGGCTCTTCCGGCTCAAAGGGTTCCCGACCCCTGCCCTAAACCTAACACTAACCATACTCAACCGCAATACGTTTACGTTTACGTTTACGTTTACGTTTACGTTTACCTTTACGTTTACGTTTACGTTTACGTTTACGTTTACGTTTACCTTTACGTTTACGTTTACGTTTACGTTTACGTTTACGTTTACCTTTACGTTTATGTTTACCTTTACGTTTACGTTTACGTTTACGTTTACGTTTACGTTTACGTTTACGTTTGCGTTTGCGTTTACGTTTACGTTTACGTTTACCTTTACGTTTACGTTTACCTTTACGTTTACGTTTACGTTTACGTTTATGTTTATGTTTATGTTTATGTTTACGTTTACGTTTATGTTTATGTTTATGTTTATGTTTATGTTTATGTTTATGTTTATGTTTATGTTTATGTTTATGTTTATGTTTATGTTTATGTTTATGTTTATGTTTATGTTTATGTTTATGTTTATGTTTATGTTTATGTTTATGTTTATGTTTATGTTTATGTTTATGTTTATGTTTATGTTTATGTTTATGTTTATGTTTATGTTTATGTTTATGTTTATGTTTATGTTTATGTTTATGTTTATGTTTATGTTTATGTTTATGTTTATGTTTATGTTTATGTTTATGTTTATGTTTATGTTTATGTTTATGTTTATGTTTATGTTTATGTTTATGTTTATGTTTATGTTTATGTTTATGTTTATGTTTATGTTTATGTTTATGTTTATGTTTATGTTTATGTTTATGTTTATGTTTATGTTTATGTTTATGTTTATGTTTATGTTTATGTTTATGTTTATGTTTATGTTTATGTTTATGTTTATGTTTATGTTTATGTTTATGTTTATGTTTATGTTTATGTTTATGTTTATGTTTATGTTTATGTTTATGTTTATGTTTATGTTTATGTTTATGTTTATGTTTATGTTTATGTTTATGTTTATGTTTATGTTTATGTTTATGTTTATGTTTATGTTTATGTTTATGTTTATGTTTATGTTTATGTTTATGACCACGACCACGACCACGACCACGACCACGACCACGACCACGACCACGACCACGACCACGACCACGACCACGACCACGACCACGACCACGACCACGACCACGACCACGACCACGACCACGACCACGACCACGACCACGACCACGACCACGACCACGACCACGACCACGACCATGACCATGACCATGACCATGACCATGACCATGACCATGACCATGACCATGACCATGACCATGACCATGACCATGACCATGACCATGACCATGACCATGACCATGACCATGACCATGACCATGACCATGACCATGACCATGACCATGACCATCACCATCACCATCACCATCACCATCACCATGACCATGACCATCACCATCACCATCACCATCACCATCACCATCACCATCACCATGACCATGACCATGACCATGACCATGACCATGACCATGACCATGACCATGACCATGAACATCACCATGACCATGACCATGACCATGACCATGACCATGACCATGACCGTGACCGTGACCGTGACTTTTGAGGGCAACGAACAGGGAATAACCGCGGAGGTTTAATTGTTATAAATGTTTCATATAGCAACAAATCTGTTTAATTAAAACTAGTGTTAACAATATCATATTCGTTTAGCGTACAACATGTATTTTTTAATTGACTGCGCTCTTATGTCGGCGCTCTTTTGTCTGCGCTCTTATGTCGGCGCTCTTTTGTCGTGCACTCTTTTGACGGGGTGCCCAACAAATCTTATTCAAAAGCAGTAGTATATTTATATCGATCAAGAGTTTTACATACTACGCCGACAATAAATGTATTAAAATAAAATAATTACAATAATCCTGTCAGATCTAATCCATAATCTGTGCCTATATTTGGTTTGAACAGTAAGATATTTAAACAACATAGACACATGTCATATTTGATGTTTAAAAATTTATACCAAAGTGCAATCCGCCATCTGTATTTGCAGGTTTTCAGGCATTTGTGTTGTCAACGATAAAGCTGTCTTTATTAAACTATTGTTTTTTAACGTGGAAAAGATGTCTTTAGCTCACGTCGTTGTGCTTTTGGCTTTATTTGACACTGGAGGCGCTGGTTGTAGCAGATCAGATTGGATGGAAAAGTTTAAAAAAGAGGGAACTTCAACGTGCAATGACCTAAATGATTTTATCTCTGGCTTTTATCGAGCTGCCTTGGTGGTTATTAATGAGGACAGTATAGAATTAATAGAAGGAGTTGAATGTTGTTCGAGAACTTCACCATGGGAGAAATCTAAAACACAAACAATGATTGCTAATTGGTGGTACTCGTTTAATAAAGACGACTCCTGGTCAATCTGTCCTCCTGGTTATTTTCTTAACGGTTTTTACAGAACGAAAGACGCTGACCGTGGCTATTTGAATAACATAGAAGAGGGACGTTGTTCTAAACCAGTTGACCACCCAGCATACTATGGTCACTGTTATGACCACGAAGTTGGGATCTGTTTTTCTGACAAAGGTTTGTGTAAATGTAATGATGGTTACTATGTCACTGATTTGTTCAAGGCGAACTGTAAAAAACTTTATTGTATAAAGACTTTGCGATGTTGCAAGCTGGCGTCAGCACCAGAAGTACTGGACGATCTCCATAAGGTGAAGACACGCATCATGGACACTACAATGGAAGACATAGCTATTTTGGCGAATTATCTCGGTTATGGTTGGTGTGGAGGTTGTAGAAGCCAGTATGTTGGCGAGGATTTTATTAAAAACGGCGACACATGGCTCTCTAGTACAAAACAACCTTGTGATGGGTATATGCATAATCAACGTCTCAACCTAGCCTATGGAGACTGGAGTTTTGGTATAAAAGACATCAAATATGGAACGCCTTTAATTGAAGATTTGACGCCTGAAACGATAGACTCAGGAGTTCTTACAAACAGCGAACCGACAAATTCATCACAGAGTGTCACACGAACTGAAATCATTGCGCGTGCTGTCACCCATACGACAACCAGCGCTTGGAAAAACAGCCAGGAACTGAATTTCGGAATCTCTTACACACCGCCTGGCGGACCTACTGTTTCTGTTGGGTATAAGTTTGGATTTGAAACAAGTTCATCGCAAACAGATGAAAACAGAAGGGAGCAGACGAAATCCTTTACAGTTAGTAGTGTAAAAACCTTAATACCGAACTCAGCACAAATTTCAGTTAACTATACTGCGACAATTATAGTTAATGCGACAATTATAGTTAAGTTCTCCACTGAGCTACAAGGCTTTCTTCGTTGGGGTGGGGGGATTGGTAAGGATAATACAAATTACCATTATGAGCATCGCGGTAGGGAAGATCGTCCTACTTTTAACTACAGATTTGGAGACTCTAAGGTTCCATTCTACACAGCACTGAAGAGAGAGAGAGCGATACAATCTCACGTCCTTGGTTATGGACCGATTTGAAAAGTACATATTTAACCTTCATGGATTTAATCACCAATTTAACCGACGAAAGCAGGTACGTCTTTCAACTAACCGGAAAGTTTGAAGACGTCTCGGGAAAAAACGTCGACTTTCATTGGGATACCGTACCGACAAGAAAGCGAAGAGCGGACTCTCGTGCTAATGGACAGGATAACATTTTTCAGGACTCAACACCATTTCCCAAGACTGTGCTTAACGATGTTGGTCATACGAATCTAACGGATCATATTTTACAGTACTTCACACAAGTCCCCAATACTGCGCCTAACGATGTTGGCCCTACGAATCTAACGGATACTATTTTACAGAACTCCACACAAGTTACCAAGACTGCGCCTAACGATGTTCCTCGAGTGAATCTTTGATCCTTCGTAATCCAATATCGAGGGGACCTTCCAAAATCTGTGAGCTTGTGAAGTAGTTCCAAAATAAAATAAAAACATGCACGTTATTAATGTTTTATGTGCTTGTTTTAATGTATACTTTTCTGTACATCTCTATTTTTCTGTAAAATCCACTAGTCCAGATGTTTTTAAAATCATTCATTCGCTCGAAACTTATAAAGTAAAGTAAAGTTTCCTTCAAACCTGTGACCTCAGCACTATGCCGAGCCGCCTTTACTTTTCCTAACATGAGTTAGGTACCCGTCAGGTGGGAATCAGGGACGGTCAACTTACTTGAACCCGTATTCGAACTCGAGACTTACGGTTTAGCAATCCAGCTCTTTACCGTTAGACCACTCAGTCCCTTTTCAAAAATTGTTGATTCCTTAAAATTCCTCGTTTAGAAAGTACATAGGTAAGTTAAGTTCCATTTTGGAACCTGACGATCCATAGAGCAGGTGAAGTAAAGTTGATCTGTTTCTCTGAACTCGGCACTTGAAGATATAGTGTTTTCAGCACCATGCCGAGGAAGTATTTACTTTGCGTGATCTAGATACCCATAGCAGGTGTGTAGACTTATGGAGGTTCTTTTGAGTTAAACCAAGATTCGAACTCGAGAATCCCGTGTTAGCAGTCTAGCGCTCTACCTCTAGACCATGTAATAATTTTTTACTTGTATTCTGGCGTTAGTTTATATCTTTATTTCATCTGCAAAGTCTTATTGTTCCGTCTTCTCAAGCGAGTGTTCAACGAATCTAATTTTCCTATTTGTAAATGAACTTGACACAAACATAGAAGTCGTGCCATTTGCTTTAGCTTTACTTTCTCACACATTCCGAGACACAGGCGATAAAGATACTGAGAAAATTAGAGGCTTTAGTTACAAAACAAATATTTAAACACATTTTCTTCCATCCAAGCCATGAGACTGACGCCTCCAAAACGCAGCAAAATTGAACATTTGAAACAGACAATTATAATAAAAAAAAAGTAAATCAGAAGGATTATTTAAAAGGAAAAGGTTATTTTTAAATGTGGACCATTACAACACTGATCCTGGCATCTCACCTAGACTTTGTACCGGCAACCATAAGGAACATTTCTTTGGTCCAGTCCACTCCTTGGTGTCGGTGATAAGAGGAGGGGATAGCGGGGTGGGAGGGGGGTTGGTTTGGGGTGTAGTTCATGGTGCCGTGTAGAGTAGCCTGGTCTGATTTGGGATGTAGATTGAGGTTTTGTGGGATTTGGACTATTCCGTATGTGGTGTAGGCCTATATGTGGTGTAGAGTGTGAGGTTTTATGTACGTTGTAAGTTGTATTGTTGTTTGCAGTGAGGGATGTGGTTCAGTATTTGGGGGGTTTCCGTAGCGTGGTGTGAATCATGTGATGTTGTTTTGACTTTAAAGTATGATTTATTGTGTCGTGCGAGAAAATGTGCTTGTTTTGCTTCATTAGTTTTTGCATGTGTGTGGCATGAGGTATTGTAAATAGTATGTTTGGTGTAGAAAGACTGATTTGGTGGGAATCGTTGTTTTAGTGTGGTAAGCTTATAGCGATGCTATGTAGTGCAATGCGATGTGTGGGGTGTTGGGATTTGAGACGGGTGGTGTAGGTGTTTAATTATATTTATCGTTCATAGTGTTTAATTCATTATTAATAACTCATTTTGTGTAATAATGTTAGATAACATGCTTATTATATGGAAATAATTTTTCGTACTATACATACTCCATGGCCATGTCAAAATAAATAAAAAAAATCAATTCAACGAACTCTCTGTATTGAAACAGTTTCAGTAGCCAGAGCTAAACATTCTGTTCTACTACATCCTGATAAACTAATCCTAGTTATTTTAGAGATTACCCCTAAAGGCTCAAATTTAACTCCAACCAAGCTAATCTCTAAGATATTTTTCGATAATCGCTTTACTGGTATGCCCTAAACATTTTTAAAATTAAGCTTATTTTAATCCGAAACCTGGTTAAAACACGTCAACAGTGAACATTTACGCAAAGCTTAACTTTAATGCAACGCATTATATTATATTAGAAAACATACATTATTTATCAGAAAAATGAAGCAATAAAATACAATAAAATTAAACCATGGGATTATTGCTCCTATGTGATACATACTATCTGCACAATGACTAAGCATAGCACAATATTTTATTTTTTGCATGAATGCGGGTGACTTATAAAATATGTATTCTTGAAGCCACGAAAATGTTTATTTAATCCTAGGTTTGCCAATCTGTTGCAAAATAGAATAACAACATAACACAATTATAGAAATAGAATTATATAGGTTTTCACTGCAAAACCTTACTTGTATTAAAGGCTTTATGGACGAATACAGTTATAACCAAGTTATGTTACAAGCATTGTAAATTCATATCTATTGTATGGCATTAAATTATCCCCTCCCGCAAGTGCTCTCGTCCCATATTGTATATATTATGTTCGAAGAATGTAAAAAAATATTTGTGCTGATTATACTGACACTGAATTTGAGGTATATTGTTGTTTTTGTATTTTGGACATTTTTTATGTTAGTTACGGTAAGTCGCGAGTTCTCGACATCCGGAGCTAACAGACCAATCAGTCATTTAAAAAAATTGTCCGGGTCATTTCCTTTTTTACTGACACTTGTTTCTCTAAATATCAATGCACAAACAATAGAGTATCACAAACGCAAGTTGATGTAGACTCATTTGTAAAATTCATGAAAACTATATGTTTGAAGCTCAGACATATAGTTACATAACTCTGCTGCACCCGATCACTGTCTAACGCTTATGAATGGGTATTTTAAAGCATGGCTATCGTGGTTCTACTAGACTAAACTAACACGCTACATAAGAAAATACCTCCTTAAATGTTTATGGCCTTAGTAGTCCCTGGTTACGCTCTTTTTGTGAACTCTCATTCAAGGTCAACTAGTAAAGACGCATATTTTTCATTCGACCAGTATTTGCTATACACGCAAAAGGACGTGAACAAGTACAGTCAAGTAATGACAGTGTTCAGCCGTTGTATAGTCTTCCATGCTCAATGTAGCTGCTGTGTGTACTTAGTGTCACTGCTGTGGGTCCTGAAAAATGTTATCCTGTCCATTAGCACGAGAGTCCGCTCTTCGCTTTCTTGTCGGTACGGTATCCCAATGAAAGTCGACGTTTTTTCCCGAGACGTCTTCAAACTTTCCGGTTAGTTGAAAGACGTACCTGCTTTCGTCGGTTAAATTGGTGATTAAATCCATGAAGGTTAAATATGTACTTTTCAAATCGGTCCATAACCAAGGACGTGAGATTGTATCGCTCTCTCTCTCTCTTCAGTGCTGTGTAGAATGGAACCTTAGAGTCTCCAAATCTGTAGTTAAAAGTAGGACGATCTTCACTACCGCGATGCTCATAATGGTAATTTGTATTATCCTTACCAATCCCCCCACCCCAACGAAGAAAGCCTTGTAGCTCAGTGGAGAACTTAACTATAATTGTCGCAGTATAGTTAACTGAAATTTGTGTTTTGGCCACAATAAGACGCCATTTAGCTGCTGAGTTCGGTATTAAGGTTTTTACACTACTAACTGTAAAGGATTTCGTCTGCTCCCTTCTGTTTTCATCTGTTTGCGATGAACTTGTTTCAAATCCAAACTTATACCCAACAGAAACAGTAGGTCCGCCAGGCGGTGTGTAAGAGATTCCGAAATTCAGTTCAATTCAGTTCCTGGCTGTTTTTCCAAGCGCTGGTTGTCGTATGGGTGACAGCACGCGCATGATTTCAGTTCGGTGACACTCTGTGATGAATTTGTCGGTTCGCTGTTTGTAAGAACTCCTGAGTCTATCGTTTCAGGCGTCAAATCTTCAATTAAAGGCGTTCCATATTTGATGTCTTTTATACCAAAACTCCAGTCTCCATAGGCTAGGTTGAGACGTTGATTATGCATATACCCATCACAAGGTTGTTTTGTACTAGAGAGCCATGTGTCGCCGTTTTTAATAAAATCCTCGCCAACATACTGGCTTCTACAACCTCCACACCAACCATAACCGAGATATTCGCCAAAATAGCTATGTCTTCCATTGTAGTGTCCATGATGCGTGTCTTCCTTATGGAGATCGTCCAGTACTTCTGGTGCTGACGCCAGCTTGCAACATCGCAAAGTCTTTATACAATAAAGTTTTTTTACAGTTCGCCTTGAACAAACCAGTGACATAGTAACCATCATTACATTTACACAAACCTTTGTCAGAAAAACAGATCCAACTTCGTGGTCATAACAGTGACCATAGTATGCTGGGTG